GTCAGTTAAACAATTGCTGTGCATGTGTAGGATTTTGTGTGCTACAATGCAGGTTTAATAGATAAAGGTAACACTTGTAGCCCTTAAGTTGTCCAGATATTTGAACCAAAATATGAAGAAAGATAGAAACCCACTCATGGGAACTTTGGAGAATAGAACAGTTTTAGCATGGATACTAGAGACAAATGGATAATATAGTCATTATTCCTCCTTTTTCAAATTCATAGGAAGTACCCTGTTGCCATCCCAAGAGATTTTGTTTTTACACTTCCCGAAGACCTGTTGTGCGTAAAGTAACCTTTAGGATGGCCCCTTTTATACTATCAAGCTTAAATCTACAGCAGTGAAACTGAAAGGACAATCTTCCTGGTGGAGAAAATTGACCAGACTCCTAGGCCTTGATTATTGTATTTCCCAATGGTCTCTCTTTTCTTAGAGATTTCATTAATCCCCATTGTCATGTTCATGTCTTAGAGGAGAAGAAGAAGCTGGTTTGAGTTCTACAGATTGCCTTAAGTGGCCAGCTATGAACTTTTTTTAAAAAACAATTGTTATTCTTCCCACAGTAGCAATTCATTTCTGTTGAAGACACAGCAGGACCCCTGCCCCCTCCACCACTACCCTGCGGACCATTAAAAGAAATTAACGGTTTAATATTCTCCTTCTTTCCTCTGTGTATTTAACAGGTACAGAGGATTAAGGGGGAAGGGCAGTTTGCCTCTCTACCTCACATAAACTCCTGTACATATGTAGACAGCATCATTGGCTCCCACCAACATGAGCCATGGCTCCTAGAGAGGAGGGGCAAATAGATGTGGTTGTCCTCAGGTGGATATATGCTCATCCTTTCTTCTGTTGAGTTGTAGGATTTCACCTCCTGAAGAGTGAAAACAATGCCCCTTCTCTGGAGTCATGTTAGAGGGATGTTTTCTGGAAGCCTGTTGAGTATCCTCCACACAGGGACACTTCATACGTTCACACTGTGTGAGGCACCATGTATTTGAGCCAGGACAATGCAGTGGCTAAGGAAAAGAGGCATTTGATTCAGGCAGTATGTGTTTGGATATCAGATCTGCTTATCAGCTTAGTAGATTGGGCAAATTTCTTCATCTCTCTGAGTCTCAGTTTCTTTTTCTGTGAAATGGCAGTAATAACAGTGCTCACTTCTAAGGATTAGTGTGCATGAGGTGAGTACATGACAAATGGGAATTGTAATATTAGGCACTAGAGAGTCAGGGAGGAATATAAAGAAATATAAGGCAAATTCCCATCGTCAAGGAACTTTCAGTCTGGTTGGAAGGGACTGAATAAAAATAAAACTTACAGTACAAGGCAGAAAATGGGAGCACCAAGTGAGTGCTGCAGGTGGTAAATGCAGCAGTCTGCCAAGGACTAGGATGATGGTTGAAAGGTTTCAAGGCAGAGGTGGGAATTTCTCTCTGGATTTGCAGGCTGGACAGGAGTCAGATACATAGAGTGAGAAATCATCCTAGGTGGCAAGGGGAAGGAGGGATCAGAACACACAGCACACGTACAGCAGGGGTGAGAGTATACCAGAGTAGAAAGTATGCCAGCTTTTGAGCGAGATGTAAGAATTCTAGCGCTGCTGTGAGACCTTAGTTGAGCAAGTACCTTAACTTCTTTAGCCTTCCACAGTCTTAAAATGGGTATAATTATCCTCATCTCTTAAATTGAAGGGATTAAATAAGATAATATTTGTAATGCCTAACATGATGCCTGGCATCTTCAGTAAAATAAAGACAATTCAAGTGATGTTTTCAGGAGACAAAGAGAGAGCTGTCTGCCTGAAGAGCTGTCTTGCCTTGTGTAGGTAAGTAGTGGAAAACAAATCAGGAACAGATAATTAATGCCTATGGGGAGGGTAGGAAGGAGGCTTGAAGGCCAATTTAAGAAGCTGGGGCTGTTATAGGCAATCAGAACTACCAAGGCAAAGTAGGAGTTTAGGATAGTTGATCTTAAGGCACTCTGAAGGCTGTATTGGAGGAAGGAAGAAACTCACTCGTTTCTGTGTAAAGTGACCAGGGTCTAGATTAGGATAATGGAAGGATTAGTAGACTTGGTCGATATGGTCTTTCTAAAGTTATTTTATAAAAGCAGTTTAGGGCTCAGTGTGGAGTAGGGGGGAGCTCTTTTTGTTTGTTTTGTTTGTAGACTGCTAGTAGTACTGATTGTCCAGAATAAAACTAGGATAGACCCACAACTTGCCAAAGGAGAGTTCACTCAGTATCCAGGGACAATAAAAGGTGAGAAGTAACTCTGATGCTAAATAAGCCCTAGAATTTGCTTCAGCTTATGAAATAGCCCCTTTTAAAAGTCCCTTACCCTTTCCTATTATTAATACAGATTGAGTCCCAACCACTGGTTTTCAGGAAGACACTAGTACAGATCCTTTATCCCTGTATGGAGTTTGCAGTTAGGACTGTAATAGTAAGGGTCATTGGGACAAAGGGTGAAGATGCTGCCAGCATCAAAATAGTAATGTTGATTATTTTATTTATTTGGTGATGGTGAAATTCTGTTCTCTTCTGGGGTTTCGAAGTGAGTTAATTAAAAAACAAACCAAGGAAATAGTTTTGGATACTAGGAATCAATTTATAATGCCTCCCATTTTCTACCTTTCTCTTTTTTTCTGTCCTTAGTCGTTTTGTAATGGGATAATACATGGTAGGTAATTGTATTTCTAAAGAAAATCACACTGATTATGTATATGGACACTAGTTTTTAAAATGTTTGGAAATCCTAACTGTGGTAAGCCTTAAACTTATTAAATAGGAAAGGATAAATGACCTACCTCTGATTTCCTGAACTTTGCTGTTCTCTTACTTGGCTGCAAGGGCAACATCATGCCAATAGCTCTGGGGTGCCTGAATAGTGCGTTGCTTCCCTTGGAAGGAAGATGTACATGAAAGAAGATGGCGTGCAGTAGTTGACAAACACAGAAAGAAGATAAGTGACAAAAGAAAAAGGTAGGCCCTGTGAGGTTATAGGCAAAGCCAGCTAGCTTAGTCCTAGTGCTTTGAGCAGCAGCAAGGAGTATTCATTTTATTTCTCGTCTTCTGAGTTTATTTAAATCATCTGCTGGGGTGGGGGAAGGAAAGAAAGCGTGCTATTATAAGGCTGATTAAGATGCAAACATGCAGATTAAACCAGGTTTACTGACAGTCCTTTTCACTCCAGCCTAGAAACAGAAGACTGTATAAGAAACCTGATCGAAGGGAAGGAAGGAACAGGAGAAAGCAAAACACAACTCTTCACTTTTTAATGAAAGAGTTTATGAATATCTATTGTTTTGGATTTCTGGTATCCACTGCCACCCTAACTTATCATTCAAACTCCTGGCTGAAAGCCTGGCCAGGGGGTTTGGACCAGTAGCAGATGTCATTGGGAAGAGGGTCTTCAGGGGGCCGCTGGCATTAATTTTGCTGAAGAGACCTCATCAGAGACCAAGCCTCCTCTTGCCCACAGGTGGTGGGCCTTGGAGAGAGCCTCCATGCACATTTTAGCCTTGTCCCCTCCTGCAATCTCTCTGCCTTCAGCTTTTTCGTTGGGACCTCTCTTTCTCTCTTCCCCCTTTTTTCAATTAAATGAATTAATTACCAGGCATTTAACTTTTTGCCAGACTCTTTCATTATGCCCAGAGTTGTTGCTGAGTGGCAAAGGGAAGTAATAACATTCACAGTGAGGGGCAAATCCTGTTAATGAACAAATTAAAGTTCAAACAGTGATTCAAGTTCACAACCTCTCTGTGGCTCTTCTCTTTAATAAGAGTTATACATGTTACTTTCCTTGCTCTTTTCTCCCTTTTATTACTTTTTAAGCTTTTCATCAACACTGCCGGGGCATATTTGAGGCTTCCAACCTTTCAGCCCTGACAAGGACTCGAGCAGTTATAATCCCGTCTTAATTTGGCAACTTTTGTAAAACATATAAAGGGCCTAGGGTCACCTTTGGTCGCCAGGGCCCTGGGTGACCCTATAGCTTCCACCTCCTGCCAGGGCTGCCTGGGCCACTCTTCTCGGTATTCATCCCCCTGTAGCAGACAGAATCAGAAGATTCACCTTCCAGCCCCCGACACAGCCAGGCAGGACCTGTCCACGAGTGAAGTGTTCGAGCCCTTTCTTCTCTCGGTCCCTTCTCCAACAGTCCTTCCTACCCTTCAGCTGCGAGGGGAAGGGGACGCTATGGGGAGGGAGGAGCCTACCGACTAAAAGCCGGGAAGCTTTAAGGGGAAATTAGTTTGAGGTCGGACTGCTGCCCAACCCGCCCTTCCACTACCACTACCGAGTGCTGCTTGCCGCTGAGGTCGAGGCATCAGGCTGTTCCGCTGTTCTGAGTACAGCACTCCTTAGAACCCTGGGGTGTGGGCCTGGCAGAAAGAACCCAGGAGGGGTCCAGTCCCCACCTACTTCTCTCCCTGTCTCTCTCTCTCTCTCTCTCTCTCTCTCTCTCTCTCTCTCTCTCTCTCTCTCTCTCTGTCTTTCTTTTTTTGTACTGTGGATTGCGTGGGGGTCTTTTCCACCTCCGCGCCTGCTTCTCACCACCATCCCCCGAGCATGGCTAGATATCATCACCATGACAACTGCAATCTATGAGCATACACATAATAGAGATGAAATAGACAAAAGATTAGCATGCCATGAAAAGTACAATAAGTTTCTTATTTAGCATTTAGATAACTGTCTTTCCTTCGGAGCAAGCTTCAAAGTTGAAGCCAGTTTAGACCAAGAGGATTAATTCTTTCTCCCGCATGCTTCATTGAATCTCTCATTACCAAACTTTGTCTGTATTGATGTAAGATTTGATTGAAGATTAGAGCATTTAGCAAATCTTGCTTTTCTGCATGTATCAGGTCCTTTCAAGCACGGATCTCGGTGCCCAGTGGTCAATACCCTTACTTTTATCCAGTGTCTGCTTCATTTAAACTTAATCAACTCCATCAATGAACTGGAACAGGGAAACGTCCCTGCGGTAAGAATGTTGTGCTTTTGTGGGATAATTCTTTGCTCTTTCCCAATCTGTTGGCGTTAAACCTAAAATTGCACTATGATGAACTTTTTTTTTTTAATCAATATGATAATGACAATTGGGTCTGAAAGCTCTGGTAGGAGTAGAGCGGGATCTGGCCCCCATTGCCAAAATAACTTCTCGTTCTGAGATAGTTGGACTCCTTTTGTGTGGCTTTAATACCTTTTCTTCCCTGACATCGAATATTGCTCAAGCTGGAAAATGATGCATCTTTGTAGGGGAGGCTCGTATGTCACAGCCAGAAAGTGAAGCAGACCGATTGGTTGTGTGAATTATCTGACTTGCTGCAGTGAATTATTTGCACTGTTTCCCTACCTAGTCAACAAGTTCCTGAGGTATAGTAGAGATCAATCAAAACTGACAGCCTGTGTGTGAAGGCTTTACTGTGTAAATCTGGCGCACTCATCCTGGCCATGCCGGCCCTGGCATCTGTATATCATTTTTATACTGCTACCAGTAGAGCAATTTCAAAAGTATTTGCAAGGAAAATGCGTGTCCCCATCTGTTCCTGGAAGCATAAATGTGCCACCTTCAGAGGGTTTTCACTGGTAATCATATCTTTAATGATCAACAGACTAGTGATATATACCTTTCCATAAAATGGGATTTTCTTCACTTTATTGTGATTGGCTAGAATAAATAGCTTTTCCATATGTTAGGGAGATAAAATATAAGATTAGCAGAGGTCGTTTGTTGGATAGTAAACAAAAGAAACAATTCATTCCAAATAATCTTTGAAAAGAAGCAACGACAAAATTAAGTTGCAATCACAGAGTATCTGAGGCCCCAACATTAGAAAACAGACCTCGTTCCTCCTTGGAAAAAGAGCCGTTTAAGAGCAGAAACTCAATAATCTTCTAGGGGACTCTGGTGACTTATTCTTCGAGTCAGAGGGAGAGGGCCAGGGTAGGGAAGGAGAGGCTGGAATAATACTGTTTGTTCAGCTTCTGTTGTAGGATTGTGTTTCCTTTCGCTCATCTTAGGTGCTATTTGGCCACCTCCACTGCAGCACCCTGGGTAAATTGGTAGGTGGTATGTTCAGAAAGCAGGAAAATGCCACTCTGCTGAATTTCTCTTCAGGCCTTTCAAGAAGATGGGGATTGTTCACATACTTTAAAATAAAAGTTAACTTCCCCTAGCTAGAGATTTCTCTTCTCCCATAGAAAAACAAGATGTCGGAGGGTGGGGCAAAGTTCCCAGCTTTACATGAAATTCCAAAACCTAGGGAAAGGGGCCTTAAGAGGTAGCCAAAACTTGCGGGAGAAACCCCAGGAAATGTTCTTAGTCATCGAATCTCACCTGCATAGGTTACGGTCTGCAGATACAATCAGTCCCTGACCACTATCCCCCCTCCTCCCACAAACCCACGCTCAGCACCAGGATCCCTTCTGCTCAGATGGAGCAACTTTCAGTTTTTCTGTTTGTTTGTTTTTTTCTGTTTTTTTTTTTTTTGAAGCGCTGTCTTGCTCTGTGGCCCAGGCTGGAGTGCTGTGGCAGGGTATCGGCTCACTGCAACCTCCATATCCCAGGTTCATGGGATTCTCATGCCTCAGCCTCCTGAGCAGCTGGGATTACAGTTGCCTACCTCGACACCCAGCAAATTTTTGTATTTTTAGTAGAGACTGGGTTTCACTATGTTGGACAGGCTGGTCTTGAACTCCTGACCTCAAGCGATCTGCCCACCTCAGCCTCCCAATGTGCTGGAATTAACAGATGTGAGCCATCATGCCCGGCCTGCTGAACCATCCTGGTGAAATTTGAAAGCTTCTCCTTCAAGATTCAGGACCCAGAGGTTTGGAGGCAGTGACTGCTTGCTTAGGAGACTACAGTTCTATTTTGTTTCCAGGGTCAGGACAGAACTTCCCATTCCATAAAGGACTGATATTAATTGCAGGTCACCAGAATCTGAATGATGCCCTGAGCCTTTGTGCTCTCTGGAAAATAGGTGTGAGCTTTGTGGACCTGCTCCCTAGTGTCAGGACTTGAGAAGGAATTGGGGGAAGCTCTCTCTAAACATTGGGAACAGACCCTGTGTGTAGGTTGCAGTTCCTCTGATTCTACATTCTTTCCTATTGTCTCTTGTTATGCATATGTTATGTATTGACGATCTCCCACCCCTCATCCCCGCTACCCCAACCGTTGTTCCACAGAATTCTTTGCTCTCGCTGCAGTGGAGTGTGTAGCAGAAGCGTGTTAGTTTCAATGTGGGAAATGTGGTCTGTAGGCAGGTCCCAAGGAGAAAGTTTCCATTAGCATCTCAGGCCAAATTTGTGTTTATTTCCTGGCCCTAGAGAGACTTGGGAAAAACTTCTAGGACAGCGGAAAAACAGCTCACCCAAAGCTCAAGGTGAGAAAAAAAAAAAGGGTAACTAAGGGAAGGTTTTTTTCTTCTTAATTTTAGAAACAGAATCTTCTGTTGTTGTTGTTGAGACTGAATTTTCCTCTTGTTGCCCAGGCTGGAGTGCAGTGGTGCGAGCTTGGCTCATCACAACCTCTGTCCCCCAGGTTCAAGCAATTCTCCTGCCTCAGCCTCCCAAGTAGCTGGGATTACAGGCATGCACCACCATACTCGGTTAATTTTGTATTTTTAGTAGAGACAGGGTTTCACCATTTTGACCAGGCAGGTCTCAAACTCCTGACCTCAGGTGATCCACCTGCCTTGGCCTCCCAAAGTTCTGGGATTACAGGCATGAGACACACCTTGCCAGGCCCAGAAACAAAATCTTTATAGGCTAGGTTGCACATAGGCAGGTATGGACATTTAAGGCGAGATTTACAAGTAAATCACACTTGAAACCACATTTCCTAAAATATGCAATTAGACTAAAAGAAAGTCACATTTGTGTTTTCCACGTTGTGATGTGATACACTGCAGGTCTTCAGTGAATTCGCTTGCCACAAGGAAATTCTGGCATGTGTTGTAGGTGAAATGTGATGTGTACTCAATTTTTAAAATTGAGTTTATATGTCTTTAAATTTGATACACACATTTTGTATTGAATTTCTATGTTAATTGTTTTCATAACATGAAAGGAAGTAAAAACCTCACCAATTGGTTTGGTGTAGGAGAGGTAAATCTGTGACATTTGCTTCTTCCTTTGTCCAGGAGGATGGGGCTCTCTCTACTACAGTTGGGACAGTTTCATACTCCAGGCTCTTTTGCTATGCCAGAGGGTACTGTCTAATCCACAAGCCTCTGCCAGGAATGTTGCCGTCCACACTGGAATGGAAGACACCTGCGGAGCTCCTCTATGGGGCTCAAGTTGGCTGAGGTTCTGAACCACAGAATTGCAGGCAACCAAGGAAACGCCCCAGGCACCCAGGTTTTTCTAAATCTTAGATCAGAGCCATTTGCAGCACAGAGTTGTGTGCTGTTTCAAAACCACAAACCCTGTACATATGTCCCTCCATTGCAGAGGTGGAAGCCTTGGCAAATGTAGGATGAGGATTGAAAATTAAAAAACAAACACGCCATGTTCAAGATGAAAATTACATACATTGACAATACTGTCTCTTTTCCACCACAGTCTCACTGCCACCAAGCAGCCTCAGTCTGTGCTTATTTCACTGAAAATGTACTTAATCCCAGAAAAGCTATCTGTATGCAAGAACATAATTTGTTAATCATTTTTATGAAAACAAAACCCTTCTCACCTTAGAAAAAAATATTTAACTTAAGATAGTTGACTAAAATGCTAATTTGCAATACTGCCTCATGATTGTAATATGCATACATATGTAATAGTGTTTGTTTTTTAGGTGTCCCTTAACAAGACAGGGATGAGCAAACTATATGATGTGTGCTGGAAAGAAATTCAGTTTTAAATG